GGAATTATTTCAATAAATTGGGTAAAAAATCATTTCTATAAATATATATTTTAATTTATAATAGAGAGAGAAAAAGAGAGAAAGAGAGAGAGAGAGAGAGAGAGAGAGACAGGTGCATAGATAACAAACCAAAGAATGAATGATAGAAGGAAAGAGAAAAATTGTTAATTGTTTTTTTTCACAGATTTTTAATGATTTTTCGGCAATGTTTGGAATTAATTTTTTTAATTCTAATTGTATAAAATTTTAAATATAAACTTCATGCTGACGATGCTGATGATGATACCAATTAATTAATTAGTTAATTAATTATTTAACTAACTAGTTAACTAATTATTTTTTTATTCAAAATTATTTTTGCAAATTTATTTAAAAAAAAATTTTAAATAATAAAATTTTCAAACATTGACAGAATATTATTAAACTTTTTAATTAAAACTTATGAATTGAATGTATAAATGAGTGTATGAATGGATAAATGGTTGAACGAACTTACGAACGAACGAATTAATGAATGAATGAATGAATGAATGAATGAATGAATGAATGAACGAATGAACGAACGAATGAATGAACTGATGATTCAATAAATGAATCAGCGATTGATAAAGTTTAATGAAGTTTAGTTGGTCTAATTTGTTTTATATTAGAAGCATAACTTAATATATATATATAATAATAATAACAATAATAATTATATATATAATTATAATTGCCATGTTTCATAATAGTTTTAACAAGGATAATATTTCTATTGTTATTATTAATAAATAATGTTATTATTATTTGTGAATTTTTAGATTGTAAATTTAAAAAAAAAAATAATTTATTTCGAATGAATGTCAAACTTGAAATAAAACAATATTGTAGCATTATTAATTTAATAAAATTGCGAATTTAGACAACATTAACGTTTATATTTATTTACAGAGAAAAAAATTTATGTATAAAGAGATTGTTTTTATGTATAATTACTCAAATAGATTTTTCTATTTTTAAAAAATTATTTCATTTTGTAGAAAAAAAAATCATTTTTCAATGTTTGGCATGCCTAAATCCAAAAAGTACAGCTATCCACTAATTGGTTGCTATTATTGGACTGCTTTGGGAATTCTGGATTTTTGCTTTTAGCAGATTTTAATTTGTTGTTGATGTTGTTGTTGTTGTTTTTGTTGTTGTTGTTGTTATCATCATTATTGTTGTATTTGTTGTTGCTGCTGTTGTTGTTTGGAGTTGGATTGATGTTAGTGTCGATGTTGCTGGTTTTGTTGTTGTTGTTGTTGCTATCAACATAGTTGTTGTTGTCGTTGTTGTTGTTGTTGTCGTTGTTGTTGTTCTTTTTTAATACCCCCATATTTATTTTGTTGATAAAGTGTTTCCGACTATCATCTATATCGGATATTTTGCCGCTGTTGTTGATGTTGTTATTGTTGATGTCATTGTTGTTGATGCTGTTGGTGTTATTGTTTATAACTGGCTTACTTGAAGTCTGGGCTGATGTAGGTGGCAATTTGGGCTGTTTTTTGGGTGTAGCTGGTGTTGTAGTTTTTGTTGATGTTGTTGTTGTCTTTGCTGATGTGATTGCTGATGTTGTTGTTGTATTTGTTGAAGGGATTGCTAAT